TTCTTCCTGCTACATTCCTGTGTCGATTCCCACGACCATTCTTCCTGCTACATTCCTGTGTCGATTCCCACGACCGTTCTTCCTGCCACGTCCCATTGTCGATTCCCACTCTCCCGCACTTTAGCCTTCCACTGGTATGGACAAGTATGGCTGACAGATGAGGTCGTACCTAACAGCGGTTGACCGCCGGCATTTGCGTCGACAAACGGTGCGTGGTGGACCCTGATACCGACAGAACTTGCATCACAGCGTACTGTACGTTGGAAGGCAAGGAGGGATTGAATTGCCATTGTCTGCCGTTGGCGGTGTGAGGCCCGATCGGAGAGCTTCAGGCGGTTTCTTCCTTGTAAGAGGATGGCAGAGGATGTTCTCGACTGGTGACCTGACAGGTGACCTGAGTGGGGATAGCTTTTTCCGATCAAGGCGAACACCAACGGCTATGAAGCTTCGCATATCTGGCGCATGTCTGGTGTCTTCGGCTGTGATGGGGTTGAAATCAACCATTGTCTTTGTCGACTACTGGCGGTGGTGGAGTTCTGGCAGCCGATTTGATACCGGTCCCAAACAGTGATTGTTGTCCGCATAGCCAACTTGATACCAATCCCAAGCAGTGATTGTTGTCCGCATAACCGAATCGATATCAACTGCGAAATGTGATCGACATCCGCTTCTTGGATCCGTCAATCCATTGGGAAGCAGCTTTGCTCCCCAACGCCGAGATGAACAAGCCTGGGGTCTGTGTGTCAACGATATGCCCTGCAAGGACATATCCTGCTCCTGCGCTGCCCTGCGCTGCCCTGCTCTGCCCTGGCCCTGACCGTTTCACGTCTCCGGCACTGTTGCCGTCCCATCGTCATTTCCACTACCATCCCCATTCACCGCACTCGTCGCATTTCCCTGTCGAACCTCTGCTTCTTCTTCGACTTCCCCCTCCTCTTCGTGCTTTCCATCCCCAACCCCCTCCTCGACGCCCTCACAATTCTTCAACATCCAAACCACACATTCCCCGACCTGCGCCTCACTCCGCCCATTCAACGCACTCACCTCCGCCTCGACGATACAGTCCCGCCCAGCGGCGTTTCTGACGCGCGCATCGGCCCCGGCCCGGACCAGCGCCATGACCACGTCCAAATGCCCATTCATGGCCGCCCAGTGAAGAGGCGTGTTCCCGCTCACGTTCTTATGGGTGAGAAGCCAGTGCGTCTGCATCGACGACGCGGAGGGCACATCTTCTTTACTTGGACTTGGGTTTGCATTTGAATTCGACTTCTGTGCCACATCCCGCGTGGCATCGCCATCGCCGTCGCCGTCGCCTAGTAATACTCCGAGCAAGTACTTTATCGTGTCGACATGCCCGTTCCCAGCCGCGTAGTGCAGGAGGCTAGATTGCGAACCGAGGCCGTCGGCGTCGATGTCGATCGCGGAGGCGAGGATCGTGCGACGCGAGCAGGTGTGCGTCGTGCTCAGCGTGTCGATTGCGGATTGTAGTTCCGCGAGCTCGTTGGCGCGCGTCAGGTAGATGAGCGTGTCGATGTCGTCCGTCGGGAGGGGGACGGTGGGGGAGGAAGAGGAGGGCATCGTCGTGGTGGAGGTGGTCAAAGTGCAAGAGTACGAGAGACCAAGCACCGGTACAGGTACAGATGGGCACGGGCACAGGATATTGTTAATTACTGTAAGTATCCTTAACAAGATGTAGAAGGACTCGTCCTGTGTACCACAGATACAATGCTTGTACACGGGAGATCGAGTCGAGATAATTCTAATCAACTACGAGTACTGCGTAGTGCGGGATGAAAAAAAAGTGGTGGACTGAAAAATGGGATGACGTCGATTTCAAGCCTGGTTCATCCAGCACGTACGAGGGAACAAGCACCACAAGCACCCGCAAGTCCATGATTACAAAGGTCTACGACAGTCACCCAATATAGTAGTGGTGAAGACTACCAGCTCACTATCCTGGTGATGGAAGGGCATTGTAGGCCATGGGCTAGTTCGCACTCGCAAGTCGTACAGAACATGCCTGCCTCGTCCATGTAATGATGCTCTCTGTCGCTGCTTATATATCACGTCGAGGCGGTATATGTTGCTCAGAGTCTATCGCTCGTGAACAGCGTGTGATCTAGGGTCTTGTTAAGGGACACTCAATCGTCCGAATAGTGCGGAGTACAACGAGGTGCTCCGTACTCCTTACCCCTTACTCATATTGAATCAACGGCCCGTCGATCCAAATCAAGCTAGCAGTGTCTGGGAGTAGTTCCTCGGCTGCGCAGTTATCTACTGGGGTACTTATCCAGAATATCAGTCCCTATCTTCACAGGTCACCCCTGAATTGCCTCGAGCTCACATCTTCCTTCGCTATTCCTTCCGCTTTGCTGCTCACCGACGCCGACTCTATCGCCCAACGGCAGTAGCCCGGCCGACCAGTCGATCGGCTTCGGCGGCTTCGGCATGATCTAGATCCTGCTCTCTCTGTCTCTGTAGTTCTGCAAACTCATCGTCGCCATCGCCCCCATCCCCTTCGTCGTCTTCGTCCTCGTCCTCGTCACTGCTGCCAGCGTTGTCTCGCAGGTCGTCACCAACTTGCGCTGCACCAATCTCATCCGGGGGCCTCCTTCTTCGTTCGAAGTCTTGGGCGTGGGCCGTGCCGATAATCGTTCCGACGCGCTGAAGTGCACGCATCGCCGGAGTCCGTGGGGTTGTGGGTGGACGTCGTCGACGCATCGAGTCCAGAGAACGGGCTTCGACGTCCACACCGGTGGCCACGTGCTGCTCTTGATCCTGCTCGGGAGGCCGTGGAGTGACAGTCCGGCGTTGCTGTAGAGGGGACGCTTGCCTCGAGTCTGGAAGGTCGTATGGTAGCGGGATATCTCTCGAGGCACGGAATTTGCCCACGTTGTTGCAGTGTTCGTTTTCCACGCGGAAGAGAGACCACATCCCTCGACGGAGGACCTCTGCTAAACTGACGAAGAAAGACATGAGCGCTGAATGCTGCACGTCCTTGGTGAAGATGGCATAGAAGATCCATTGTTGTCGGAGCAGGACATCTGCAGGAATGGCCGCATAATATATCCAGACTTGCTTGTAGCCCAGCCGCTGCCGCAGGAACGGATACTTGTCCACAAAGACGTCGCCCAAGCTCCAGTCTAGGTAAACGTCCCAGAAAGAGCAGTACAGCCCGTTGACCAGAGCAAACGTGACGAAGATAGCCCATGTCGTGTAGTTCATGTCAATCCGATATATTGACAGTGTCGCGTAGTAGGCGATATTACCACAGTATTTGAGACAATTGGCAAGATGGGGAAACCAGTTTCCTGAGTCGTAGTACCGGCGTAGACATTGCAGCGCCCGCCATACAGCCGGTAGAGCGGCAAAAAAGCCAAGCAGGCGTGAATGGCTGGAATTGCATTGTGGAGGATTCTGCCAGTCGTTGATGTAGAGGCAGAAGAAGAGTTCAATCTGACCCATGGCATAGGTTTGTGAGCAGTACATATCTCCCAGGTAAAAGTCTCGAAACTCAACCGGATAGAATGGTGCACAGGCCAGTCTCAGATTGGTCTCGGCCCACCATTTCCTCGCGTGGTGATATATAAAGGGGAATGGGAAGAAAATGATGACCACGGTGGTGATGATCAGAAACAATGGCCAATAAATATAGAACCAATCGTCCGCATTTTGTCGAAAGTTGAGATAGATGAACAGGCCGTTCAGGAAGGTGAAGAAACAGGGCAATTCGGCGAGTTGTCGCCAATCGAGGACATGCCTAGTGTCATATTCGAAGATGAAGATGTAGTTGATGTGGTTCTTAGCCCAGAACCTGCAGTCCAGCGCGAATATCAGGAATAAAAGGACGATGAGGAAGTAGCCCGCATATAGCTGCAGTAGATAGCTGGTTTGTACGGATATGCGCGGATCCTGTAGTCGGAAAGCGGCATCAACCAGACCGGCCACGCCAAAGCAGACACCAGATGCCAGGTACAGTCCATTCCGGAAGGCCACCGACGAGTAGTCTCCAGCTCCAACCTTAGATCGGAGTTTCTTCACAGCAATTTTGTGGTTGCCGCGCTCAAAATACCTCGCATACAGGTCTTCGACCGCCATGAGGTGATTGTCAATAACATCGCTCGTGACGAAATAGGCGTTATTGACCTTCTCCGACATGTACCTCAGGGGAGGTCGAGCCTGGACGGCCTTGTCGTACTTTTTGTTGATCTTGCGGAACCCCGTCCTGTTCAGCAGAGTATAAGACTTTAGCAATTCCAGTCCCCGGTAGAATTCCTGCAACGCGACCTTTAATCTCCGTTTGGCGAAGGTGTACTTGACTTCCTTGCCGTTGTCGCGCCGCACATAGTCTTTCTTCCCATCATTGATCCGTTGCTGTGCCCGTGGCCCTGGAGGGCTACTCATCTGTGCCATGGCCTGGCTTGTCTTGCCTATCGTTGGACGACGGCCAATGAGATCTTCGATTCGAGTTGGCAAGATGTTGGAGCCACCATTCCCATCAGGTTTGACATTCTCTTTGAGCACGTCCGGCGGCGGATTTCTGATGTCGTCCAGATCTGGCGGTTGCGTCCCATTAGCCTCGTGCTTTGACCTCAGTATCTCAGCCATGCGACGGTCTCGCATCTCGTGTAGTTGCGTTCTCAGAGCCTGGAGGCGCTCAGTCGCCTCGTCCTCCTTCATCTTGTAAAACTCTTCAATCTTCTTCAACTCCTTGTCCAAGAAGGTGAAGAAGTCTGCCTGTCGCTCATCGAGATCCCGGTATGCCGACAGTTGCATGTCACTGACGGTCGCCTCGGTGAGATCTCGAGGAACAAAGAGCTTCCGAAACCTTTCGGCGGCGGAAAGAGAGTTGACTCGCGAGAGAGACGGCCCTGAAACTGACTGGGTCTTGTTTGGCTTCCGGCGCTTGAACATGGCTTTTGCCAGACTTCCCCCAAGGCTGCCTCGCGCGCGGGGAGGGTGATTCGTCTCTCCAACATGGTATGGGTCTACAGATGGAGGTACTTGGGCAGGAGGAGGTAGCCGGGGAGTGTTGCCCTGAGAATCGTGCATGGCCCCGATCTCAGTTGCCGGTCGACTTCTCAAGGGAGTCAAGGCCGGATCTGGGAGTTCGAGGGGTCCCATCATGCCCGGCGTCTCGTCTGGAGGTGTCCCAACAATGGACCCATAGTTCACCTGGCGTCTGGGTTGCCCATTGTGGAGTGGCGTTCTTTCGGGCGTCGTGTTTGAGCTTCCTGCGCCCGGTATGTAGATAGGCGGACTTTCGGCGAACATGGTGCGACTCGTGTGGTGACGACGCACCTCGGGTCTGTTGTCCGGCTCTTCATCTTCATCAGGTGCAACTTCTGCAATCTCGGGGAGCGATCGTGTCGACCGAGCGCTAGGGGGTCGCGGAGAACGACTGAAGTCATAATGCGTGAACGGAGTTCCTTGGTGCGAGAAAGCATTCAGCGCTCCAGGCGTTGGCTCGATGCCCGGTGTTTTATTGAGGTTCTTGAGGGCTTTGGAGATGGCCTTGATTTTCTTCTTCCCTTGCTGCAGGCTGTCAGTAGAGATCTCGCATCGAACTTCGTCTGAACCTTGCCTTGTAGTCGAGGTACTTGACCTTCCACTCCGGAACAGCGTCCTCCTCTAGTTCCCTGCTCTGGTTAGTGCCTTACAATACTGGCGCTACTTCTCAGACTGGCGACGCACTTTGCGAACTTCATGGTTTTATCTGGAGGTCTGAGAGACGCACAATCCCCGTCCTATCCATGTTCATTTATCAGATTGTCGGGTCGACGTGACAGCCCGGTTATGGATGGTGACAAGAGACGCGGAGACACAAGCATTGTGGGCGCGCGATAGCCGAGTAGGAAAAGAAACGTCGGCGTGCCAGGCGCATTTGCGGGCACACATCGTCATAGCTCGATTTCTCGCTTACTGTGTACGAGACACGAGTTAGGTGCAGCCGATAACCAGTCTCCACGTGCCCCAGCGATACGGTACCATGGCATCCAGGCAAGATCTCGAGCGTTTTACCTCCTCGTGCTCCGGTGAAAGTCAAACGAAGACGGACCAAGAAGGCTATCAGCAGAAGTACCAACCTCGACCAAGAAGCTAGGAGACCACTGGCAATTATTCAAACGGACTCACTCACTCGTGCCTCACTTCACTCTTCCCAATCCGGCAACCAGTCAGTCAGCGGGGAAGTGTGACGTGAGGCAAATAGAGAAATGACTCAAAGATACTTAGACTTAGATAGCAGAGACCCCTCTCCCTGGACGTCGTAGGGAGATCAGAGTACTGGCAATTGATCTCGCACTGAAAAAGCACCCTCCCAAGGATCAAGATGGTCTACACCATAACTGTCCATCTACGGGCCAAATCTTCCGACCCCTCCGTCATCGAAAAACTGAAGAACAAGCTCATCGAGGCCTCACGGGTATACTCCAAAGACAAGGAGACTCTCTCCTGGTTCGTCATGCAATCCGTCCACGACCCTCGCGATTTCACCATTGTGGAACGCTACGAAAGGGAAGCATCTCAAAAGTATCATTTGGAGAATCCATACTGGAAGACGTTCGATCCATATGTCAAGCCTTTATTGGAGGGAGAGATGGATCTGCGAAGGTTTGAGGAATTGGACACGACCCAGAATGTTGTAGTGGAATGAAAAGCCTGCTGTGAGTCGGTCTGTCAATGGCCGCGAAAGGGACGCCCCCTAGAGCAGCTTTCACCGGCGGGATTTGTGGACGTGGTCTGAAGTTTCCTTGAATTTGATATGTACATATCACAATGTCGGGCGCGCTCGCCCAACCCTTTACCTCTTGCTTGATTTAAAAACGCCTTGTCAATGCCAATACACACATGCTGCGTCAAAGCTCCCGGCTAAGAGGATTGGTATATCCACCCACTTTGTCGCCTAGCCGTACGAGATTTGCGCATCGGGCTCTCCAGGCGCGGCGAAATTCGTGCTCGGGTCACGAGTCTGGAAGAAAGAAGCACTGCAGCGTGCCATCGTAGGTGAACTAGAGCAGGTCAGTCTCATGTCGCTGGAGGAAGTGAAATGGTATGACCAAGGACAGGGTGTCCGGCCATGTACGCACCTTCTCGAAATAACGTCGGTCTGATAGAAATCCCGGATCGGCAACTCCAACTTCTGCCCAGTGGCCTTCGCTCCCTTGTTGGCATCAGCAAGCTGTACTTTAGACAGACCAGTTAGTTTCTGAGGTTCGAGCGTGTCGTATCTTCTCAGCGCCGGTGAGATTTCTTCCAGACGGTCTCTTAGGACTTCCAAATCATCATATGGCAAAGGCGCGCCCAAGAACTCTGATGCTGCACGGATGATCTTCCAGTCGGTTCGTGCTGCACCAGGAAGGGTGACAGCAGAACGAGTGAGCTGCACCCGTCCCTCGGTATTGACGTATGTGCCGGATTTCTCGGTGTAAGCAGATCCGGGCAGGATCACATCTGCAAGCTGTGCTCCCTTCTCACCATGGTGGCCCTGGTAGATCACAAATGCGTCCTTGGGGATGTCGGCCTCGGTGACTTCATCCGCACCAAGCAGCCACACCATCTTGGGTGTCGTCTCGGCAACTTTCTGCGAGGGGACGGTGAAGCCGACTTCATATGCTCCCGCTCGCGAAGCTGCACGTTGAAGAACATTGTATCCTTGCCATTCTTCCGTGTTGAAGTTGGCCTGGTTCTTGTCGACAAAGGCTCCCACGGTCTCGAAGATAGCTTTGGCATCTGGATGTTCTGCAACGGCGCTTCCAACAATGATCATAGGTCTCTTGGATTCGGCCAGCTTCTTGCCAAACTCGCCCGAAAGAGCCTTTTTCACGGCAGCAGCGTCGTTACCCAAGTTTTTGTATTCGAAGGTGCTTTCAAAGTCCTCGCCAATGTAACCGATCTCCAATGGTGAGCGGAGCCATTGTTTCCGGATGCGTGCGTTTAAGACAGCAGCTTCCCAGCGAGGATTGCTTCCAATGATGAGCATCGTGGTAGCGTCCTCGATACCCCAGATTCGAGAGTTGAATAGGTAGTTCCCACGAATGTCAACGCCGTGAGCAATGGGCTTATCGCCACCGGGCTGATCAAGGGCGAGATTTTCAGAGTTTAATCTGTTGGCAAGATCCTTCATAGCGACAAGAGATTCCGTCTCAATCAAATGACCAGCAATGGCCTTGAACTCATTCTCACCCGGCTTCAGTCGAATGAATGCATTTCCGATCTCGGTCAGCGCTTGTTCCCACGTCGCGGGGAGGAATTTGTCATCTTTTCGAATCAGTGGAGTAGTCAATCTCTGTGTCTTCAACCCGTCCATCGCAAACCGAGTCTTGTCGTCAATCCACTCCTCGTTGACATCGTCGTTGAGCCTGGGCAGTATTCTCTTGACCTCCATACCTCTGGCATCCACTCGGATATTGGAGCCTACAGCGTTCAGGACGTCAATGGACTCGAATTTGGTGAGCTCCCACGGACGATAAGTGAAGGCGCCGGGCTTGGTGAGCAAAGCGCCCACAGGACACAGATCCGCCACGTTGCCTGAAAGTTCCGTGTCGAGATTTCGCTCGAGATACGTGCCGATTTCCATGCCGTTCCCTCTGCCTGTAGAGCCCAGCTCCGGTGCACCAGCAATTTCATTTGCGAAACGGATACATCTCGTGCAGTGAATGCATCTGTTCATGGATGTCTTGATCAAGGGTCCGATGTTTTTGTCCTCAACCGCCCGCTTTCCCGTAACTTCGTGGAAACGACCCCGATCAGCGCCATATCTCATCGACTGGTCCTGTAAATCGCATTGGCCACCTTGGTCGCAAATGGGACAATCCAAGGGATGATTTGCCAGCAGGAACTCCATTATGCCTTCTCTTGCTTTGTGGGTCATGGGCGAATCGGTCTTGACGACCATGCCGGGCTGGACAGGCCATGCGCAGGAGGCGACAGGTTTCGGGACTCGTTCGACTTCGACTAGACACATACGACAGTTTCCTGCAATAAGCAGCTTTCTGTCGGGGCAAGTCAGCGACTAGCCGGGTGTATGTCCGCAGTAGGGGAACGTACTCGTGGTAACAATATCTCGGAATGGTGACCCCTGCTTTTTCACAGGCTTGAATTAGGGCTGACCCAGCCTCTATTGACACCTTCTTGCCATCGATTGTGAGCTCGACTTCGGCATTTCGTCTTGCGGAGGAGGCGAATGTCCTGCTCGCCGCTTGTCTCGTCGTGGGGGCAACTGAAGGCCTCGAGCGCGCCGCAGCGCGCAGTAGCTGAGACCGCATATTGAAGGCTTGTCGAGCAGGTCCCAGCTCTTGAGATTGAAGAGAAGAGGTCGTTAGATGGAGGGTGGCGTACCTCGACGACAACAAGAAAGCTTCTCGATTGGAAGTGCAGCTTTCATGCCAACCCACCAATCACAACCCCATGAAGTTATGATGACCATTCTCCGTTTCAAGCACGGTAGAGCAACCAACCAGCAAAGCGCAGAAATGAGTGTTGGCTCGTTTGCAGGGTTTGCAGTGTTTGCTTACCGGCTCACTTCTACAATAGCACCTTTATGAGTCTCTCGCAGATAAAACTCTTGTGTAGACATACATATTTCTGGTGTCTAAGTTGGGTATCTGATGATTACTGAATATAGTCCGTCACTCCGAGAAACTCACTCTAACCTCTCGCCATGAAGAATTCCATCCTCCTCAGCCAATGCCAACATTTCATTCCTCCCCCCAAATCATCCTGCTCAAGCGCCTCCTCCATGTTCCAACCCACTGTCTGGAAACGACATAATACCACACCATAGTCTTGAACGGGATCCAACTCAAGACGCCCTTCGATAGATCCTTCCCCATCTCCTCAGCAATATCATCAACCATGCCCACCAAGAACGTCACGGGTCCTGCATTGCTGAACATTCCGTCCTTGTTCCGCATCGTGGCTGTCTGCCATTTCTTCGCTCGTGGGAACATGTTTTCTTCATATTTGCGCACTGCTTCGTCCACATCGCCATTTGCTTTGAGAGCGTGCTCTAACTGGGCAGCCAGTTCAAGTGAATCTCTCATAGCCTTGTTGACCCCCTCGCCTGCGAATGGGGTCATCAGACTGGACGCATCGCCAATCAATGTATACCCTCTCTTGTGTTCCCAAAACTCCCCAACTGGCAATTCGTACAGCGGCCAGGGCCGAAACTCGGTTGCAACCTTCACGAACCGTCTCTGCTTCGGCGTCCAGTCGTGGAAGTCCTTGAGTATCTTGTCCTTCAGCTTCTCCTCGTCGTCGCCGTACGCTGCCATCATGTCCGCCGGCCAGCTTTCACCTTGTGGACCCCCCTTTTTTGACCACATACCCACCTTGATACTCTCGTCCCCCATCCTCTGCGCGCTTAAATACTTCCCGTCCGAACAGGCAAAGTAGCTCCCACGCCCCACCGTCCTCGACAACTGCGGATACTCCTCGTTCGGCGAGGCAATGTGCCCAACAAATCCACAAACCCCAGCATACTGCGGCCGGACATCTGTCAGGACATGTCTGACTTTGCTCCACGCCCCATCCGCGCCCACCACCAGGTCGAACGGCCCAGCGGTGGTACGGTCCCTGAAACTCAACACTCCCGTCTGGGGGTCGATCGTCTGCAGCGTCTTCCCCCACTGCACCCACGCAGGTTTCACGCTCTTCAGCAATAGATCCTTCAACGCCTCCCGATCCATCTCGGGCCTCTCGTAGTCCAATTCCCCACCACTCTCCTTGGACTTGATCTTGGGCCCTCCGCCCTTCATATGCAGGATGTGCGTGTCGTTTTTGTCGGCGATCGTCAACTCCTCGCCGTCGTATCGCAGATGTTTGACCGCCTCGTCCCAGAGCCCGCATTGTTTCAAAGCGGCGAGTCCAGTGTCGGTGTGCAGATCCAGTGTCCCGCCCTGGGACAGACGAGCCGTCGGCGAAGCATCGTGCTCGAAGACCGTGATGGAGACGTCAAGATCCGAGACCTGTAAGAGACGCGCGAGCGTTAAGCCCGCGGGTCCGGCCCCAATGACGGCAAGGGAGAGGGGCATCTAGATGCTCCTTTGATTCCGGAAGGACAAATGTGAGTGTGCCAGTCGCGAGAATGAGGCGTCAAATTAAACCAAGGATGCCGTGCTCAAATATCGCAACTATTCGAGTCTGGTATTTGGTCCTGTTGTTGCTCTCAAACTGCAATGGCGTTGAGTGAATGGCTGAACAGCCCGTGCAATAAATGCGACGCAAGGATACAATGCAAACAATGCAAAGTCAGTAGGGAGGGGTGGAAGTATATACTCGTCCTAAATACAGTATCCGGACCCGGCGCCCTTGAGCGGGTCGTCGCCGCAGCTGAGACAGACCGACCGATCGGTTATGTAGTTCACGTAGTCTATCCAGATCCAAATGCCATATCATCTAGCTTTCTACACTGAGAGACGCGAACCGACACCAGCCGACCGACCGACCGACCAACTAGCCGACTGGGGTTGTTTATTATGTTGTATTGCTGCCTGGTCGCTGTGCGTGACATGCATGGCTCAGCCAGCGACTCAGAGCCTGTACCCGGTATCCTTGCTCGGCCTCAAACATACGTGTGTACTCCGTAATCCGTACTACAGTGGACTACTCGTGTACTCCGTACGGATACTCCGGACACAAGACACAGTACAGAAGGTAAGGAAGGAACGAAAGAGACACCCACCCACCCGACGGTTCGTCCGCGTTTGGGTTCCGTATTCGGGCCCGCGCTGTGGCGTTTCGGGGATTCAGCACGGCCGAACGAGAGTCCTGGTAGTCCCGATGGCAGGCAGGCAGGGGACATCGATTCGCGCAGATTCCCAGAATAGGCTACATACTTTGCGAGCTTTCCTGCTCCTATATTCCTTTGAGCGACTTGCTCGCGTGGTCGTGTACTTCGTAAGTGTCTCGATTTTTAGAGTGAACAAGTGGATGGTTGAAGAGAGTTTAGATTTCGCGAGGATGGACCGTGGACTGTTTGTGCTCTTTCAGGACTACCCTGCGAGATACTGTTTGACTCGCCCTCGACTACTCTGCGAGATACTGTTTGACTCGCCTTCCTTGTCGGGTGTCTGTTTCAGGAGCCCCCAACCACATGTCTTTCTACAGACTGTGTATAAACAGCTATCCTCTACTCTGTAGTCGGTAGCTTCCTGTCCTCACGCAAACGTCTTTACACGAGGAACGCGCCCAACCCAAACATGGCTGCAAAGCCTAAGCTGCCATCCATCCCACTGCTGGGGCCACCCCGTTTTCGCACGCCGGTGCCTGCATTCTCGCTGGTGCTCGTGCTCGTCGGCGAAGAACTGGCCGACTCGTTCGGATTCGAGGTCGGAGTGGAATAGCTGCTGGCAGATGGACAGCCCTGTCCATTACACTTGGCGGCCAGCTCGGCGGTAGGTACAAACGTCCTGATTGCCCTCGTACTGTTCCTGAGTGGGTTTCCGTCCGCGTCCAGGCTCTCGACAATACTCCAAGGATGATATCTCGGGGCGGTGAACGAGGTCTCGAACCCAAGCTTCTTCACTGTGCCGACGACGGTCCAGGGGCCATCGCGATTAGGAGACGAATACAGACGCCACGAAGCGACTTTGGTGGCTCCGTTCCAACTCATCCAATATGACGTGGGGGCACTCGTATTCCGCGCGTACGTGTACAAGGCCGGTGCGTCGGTCGGGTTCGAGGTGAAATTATGCTTGAAGGCGCGATAATTCATCGATCCTTCCGTGGCAAAGTGCCCTTGTTGGACCATCTGACCGTTAGGCGCGTATTCGGAAATGTAGGCATTCTTGCCCCACCCGACGAAGACATTCGAGGTCCGCCAGTTCTGATTGCGACCGAGAAGCTGCACGTTTCCTTGCGAGGCGGAGATGAACTGGTAAGGAGCCACGAAATCTTGGACCAACGAAACAGAGTTGGTGGTGTGGTCAAGTTTCAGGATCATGCCGGATGAGTAGCGTGCCGTCTGGTTGTAGCCGTTGGAGGCGTTGTCGAACAACGAGATGATGGTGGTGGTATCGTTCTCCTCCCGGAATCGTGCGTCGTGCTGGAAACTGAAGTTCAAGCCCGGTGGGAACGCAAAGTCGCTGGCTATCCCGCCGAGCCTCCAGATGATGTGCCCGTCCTGTCCGGATACCTTGTATACCGTGCATGTATGCCTTGCAGAGACAAGGTAATCTCCGTCAGCGTTCATGTCCACACTGTTGATGTGGAAGTAGTCCCACGGGGTGGTGGGCCCGAAGCCATCTCCTGACACTTCGGTCGTGCCGGGCAGGACGAACGTTTCGTTGAGCTGGACGTGGTCTAAGGCAGACCACTCGAACAATAGCCGGTTCGTCCCAATCTCTAGCCGCTGGAAGAAGTTGTTCATGATCCATCCTTGGCCGGATGTGATCCCGTGTTCCGAGAGATCATAATGTTCCGGGTTATAGAGCGTGAACAACGACGAGCCATCGGGGAGGACGTTGAACTCGTGTTCGTCAAAATTGGCCACACCGCCACCGGAGTGAATGGAGGTTCTGGCGGTGAAGGTATCGTCGAGTATGACAGCATATCCTCGTGCGTAGCCAACATTTTGCCCACCCGTTATGTAGCACAGGTTGTCCGTCCCGTCAATCGAACACACATGGAAATTATGGCTTGGACCACCTCCCGTTGAGCCATACCCCGAATAGACCAAATTCTAGCACATATCAGCTTTTGTCCCCTGGGTACACTTTGTAACTGCGAGACGGACTCCCCGGTTGTCGTAAATGTAAATCGCCTCTTGGAATGTCTGATATGGTCCGAGAAAGATATAGCCCGGAGTCACAGCGTCTTCGCGGAAAAGGGAGATGTTCAGGAACGGCGCATATACGTCAGGTCTCTGCTCCCATGTCAGCCGACGGCTCCGCCACCTTTCCGGTCCTTACAGATTTGTATTGCGACAGTGGTCCTGTGCCATTCGTCTTCGACGATGCTACACCTTGTGCCTGAATGCCTGGCAAGGTGCATAATGTGGCCAAGACGGCAAGGGTGAGGTGAAGCGAAGCTGACGGTGCGCAAAAGCTTGGGATAATCATCTCGTATTGCTGGGAGGCCCACTCTGATTGGACTCAGTGTACTGTATCCTGGCGCGCAAGCGATTGGGAGATTTGATTAGACACACCCGTCACTCTCATCGGGTGGCCATGCCGTTGAATACTGCGAAAACGGCTGCCAGAGAATATCAGAACGAAAGCTTTCCCCGCGCCAACTGAGCAGCTGGTATTGCACCGCGGTACGGATTGTAGGTGGCTGGACGATATCTTCTCGGCCACCAATGACGCCGACTTGCATGAAGCTGGAACCGCAGATCCTGCAAGGTCCGCGAGCTCCAGTACTGGGTACATGCGCAGTCACGATTGGCCGGTCAATAACTGGGGGAGCGACGCTTGCCTTTGACGATGCGAAGGTCCCATCAATGGTGTTCAATGTTGGCTCTAGGGTTACTTTCTGGATGGCAACAATATGAAAACTGACCAGTGCATAATAATTACGCTACCTCCAACGGCGTCGCACGTCAGTCCACCTGGCACATTGTCACATTGTCATTTCCTCTCGATGGCCCCGTGGCGGTCACTTCACAACCTGGACGATTTACTCCTTCGGTTCTCCGCCTGCAGTCGCGCTGGGCGCTTCCTTCCGACTGGCCTGGCTATAATCCCTCTGCACAAGAATGAACTTGACGTCGTCGCCAGGAGTTCGGGGTAGCAGTTTCTCGAATCTGCTCGCAGCGGCCTCCGACTTCCAAGCCGAAATCCAAAGGATCTGAGGCCCTTCGTAGACAGAAGAGTCAAGCAACTCATCCGATATCTCTTTCGCAGTTTTGCCCACGTCTATCAATGACGTTATACTGTCGGCCGGTGTGCCCTCGAAGCTGTCTCGATAGTACAGCAGGATGCACTGCTTTGTCTCCTCGTCATCCTGGTTTGTTTGTTGGCCGACCGAATTTAGAAGAGGGCCGATACGGATGTGATAGTCCTCATAAATGCCATGGGCCGCTTTGCCCTGGATTCTGATATGTGTGGGTTCATTTCGCCAGCGCTTGATTGCACCCTCATCTTCGAAACTTGCTACCAAGACTGTCAACCTCTCTTTGTGCACGGCTGCAAACCCAGTTTCCTTGATGAAGCCACGGCTGGCCTTGAGCAGGGGCACGAGGGTATTGTAGTATTGCTCGGAGACTGCTGCTTTGCCTTCTTTTTCGGTGCCTTGAAAGACGACGTAGTACATGGTGAAGACCGATTTGTTGGGTGGCAAGACGTGATCTCAATGGTGATAGTCGCTGTCTGAACAGTAGAAGATGCTGTCGCAAGGGATTCACAAGAGGGCACTCAGACAGTCAGTATTAGATCTGGAGCTGCTTGATTCTCCTGAGCGTATCGGTCCTTCGCCCGACTACTTATACCTTCTCAAGCTGAACGTCCGAGGCTCTAGCTTGCAAGCGGCGCCCTGTATCTCGCTTGAATCATCACGGCAAGTGTTCCAGGACCACCGCATAGCCTTCCCAGCACTTTCGAGCTGCCTTGATGGGTGGGTGACGGGGTTGTCGCGTGTGATTTCGTCATCGCGGTGTCGACAATGGCGCAGATGCCTTCCTCATTGTGGTCATTCAATCTCAGTTGTTCATGATAGGTGGTAGCGAGTGGCGAGAGTTAACAGTCCGTGTCTCGGCATCTTCTGGGCAGTGGCGCTTTGGCATGCGGCTTCGAGAGCATCTGCTCGATATACCGCCAGTACGGGCGATGTGATCGACATTTGTCAGCCGGCCGCATGTCAGGCTTCCAACGTCAAGTGAAGCTCGCAGAGCGCCAGATGCTGCAAGTCTTCGGTGCGCTGTTTCAAAGTCGATTGATTCCATAATCATTCGCGGTGCGCCAAGGACCGGTCGGGTATTTCATCTTCTGACCATAGACGAGACCACTACTCCGTAGCTTGGAGCTGAATGACAGATCGGTTCCTAGTCCACAGATATAGTGACTGTGGAAAGTTTACACGGCATAGCAGCCACAAGACTTGACTGTGCTCTCGACCCGTGGTAGCATGTCGATGCTTTAATTAGCTTCCGACGGCCTCTGGCTTCTGGGCCAGGATAACAAACCTGCACAGTCATTAGCAAATGGCAGCTGTTATGCATTTGACGAGAGATACGTTTCACTTACACTGGCCAGTAGCTGTGCACGGAACGGTCCCTAACTTCCTGTCGACATTCCACCAAAAGCGCCTCCAGTTCGTCAAGTGAGTAGTGAAGAAGTCCGGTGAAAATCTTCAGACTCAGCCCTTGGAGTCCTTCCAGGACGTTGACCAGGCCGAACAGCCCGGCTTGCCGCAGCGTCTCGTCTCTCGGCCAGGGACCGACTGGAAGTTTGAAGCTGCGACAGACGACGTTTATGAACCCTGCATGTTGCATTTGCTCCATGACGAGCTGTGGTCTGCAATATCCACCCATACCTATCATCTCCATGCCTCTTGTCCATTCCCGTTCCCAGAAGCAAAGTCGGCTGTCAGCAGGGATGGTGTTGTCATCGCTTCGCCGGTTGTAGTCCAGTTCCTGGCATTCCACCCAGCCGCCAGGATTGAGAGCTCGAAATGCCTCGTCGAAGAAATGGGGCCAGCTGCGCAGGGAAGAGTCGATCATGATTCGGGTGTGGATGAGGTCGAAGTTCCGACCAAAGGTCCATTCTTCATCGGCGTCAGCAATCTCGAAAGTCAGGTTGGGCGGAACAAAATGAGGTTGAATCGGACTCAAGTCTGTACCGATAACGACTGCATCCGGATGGGCGTCGGCTGCGTCCATGGCCCATATGCCCGTTCCAGTGCCGACATCGAGAATCGCTCTTGGATGAGTGATGGGAGCGAGGAATAACGTGTTCCTTAGTGCATAACGAAAGGCATGATAGGTAATGTCCATCCTCAGACGCTCGGTCTCGTCATTGGGCATGAGATACTTGCCGCTATGAAAGGCGTGGTAAGTTCGATTGTGCAGTCTCTCATAATCGTAAACGCTCGCCGTCACAGAGCGCGTCGACTCTTCTCGCGCCCAGTATCCGGAGTCAGCTTCATTAACATCCGAGTCATCACCGTCGTCCTGTCTGGTCTATCAACATCAAACTTTGAGCTAAAAGCACTGGACAGCCACTTACAGTGTGGGCACTGAGTGCCTCCAGCGCACTGTCGTTATCTGAAGCTGACATGTTCAGGTGGCTGGAGGTGTGTGCGTGTCCATGGCGCAGAGCTTTAGGGAAATATCTTTGATTTCTGGGTTGGAGAAATGGTACCGCTTCACGGTAAGGTCCGTGTTACCAAGGTAGAAAACATCGATCAAGGCCGGGGAGAGACCGGCCGAATGGAGGTCTGTGAAGGTACTCAGGGCGGTCTAACGTCGCTGAGGCTGCGTTGAGGACGATATGTGCGCACCTTCGGCGCAAGGGCGCAAATTCAATCGCCAATTGCAGGCCAAACCAACAAGGTCGAAGTGCTGGATCCCACAGGGAGTCCAGCTGTCTGCGCCGTTACGAGAGATACGAAGGCACGCTTCGTCCCTAGCTGCCGATGATGCTGCTGCCACGTTGGCGTTTGCCGTACATGATGCAAGGTAGTGGGTAGAGACAGGGTTCTCGCACGGTGACATAGTGTAGGTACATGCGTAACAAGCAGAAGTGGTGGTGGTACAGTCAACGGCGCGAGTACACAGTTCGTACAGTAGAAGTGTGACACCCGCTAAGGCATCCATCGCTTCGGCGGAAGCGCAGGCCCCCCAGCACCCACCCGGGGTTAAGAGTTAAGCGCCTTAGGCCACCCCAATCCATGCGCCAGGCCCCGCCGGCCATGCATCCATGTGGAGGAAGCTGGTTCTCCCCTCCTCTGATCCCTCTGTTTCCTCCATAACTGCCAATGGACACTCGGGATTCTGGCCGTCCTGGTCTAATGCATTCGCGCGGCACATTCTGGAGGACGGGGATGACCGGACGTGGGCTGCCCGGCACTTGCAGGGATACAAGGACGACCGAGTCCTGTCCTCGCTGCGTACCCAGTTCGTTATGCATGCCGAATCACCAACTGCTGTACGGAGTACACCCAACGACTTCGCCCAATCTCTAATCCGTGCTGCTGGAGCTGGAGCTGGTGCTGGTGCTGATGCGTCTATATCCTACCCTATCTCCATGTGCTGGTGTCAATCCTCTTCCCAGGCCAAGGTCTCGCAATGGCAATTCTATTACAAGACGGCCTCTGTTCGACGGATACGGCTGAACCTTGAGGGTTGTTGAGACCTCATCACGCTTCAGCTCGCTTCTATTTCATGATGGCCAACATGGCCTCCTTCTTCGCAGCCTCGCACATACAGCTTGGTCTCGCCGCAATCGTGACGGTCGCGATTGTGTGGGTTGTGGTCTCTACCACAGTATCCTACCGCCGGCTGCGGCACATCCCAGGACCGTGGCTCGCTCGATTTTCCCAGCTATGGCTACTCAACGTCACGTCCAAGGGAGACCTATACCTTGCCATGGAAGGAGTCATTGAGAAATACGGTAGGATCGGACGAGCCATCTTGGAGCCCGCCATGCTGAGCAGCAACAGGCTCACCAGCGAGGATCGGCCCTAACATGATTATCTTTGAGTAAATCAGGCATTACAGATCGTTGCCTTTTCGCGATTGCTGACTTCGAGGAGTGACCCCGAATATGTTCGCGCCATGACAGCTCCCCGTTCACCTTTCAGGCGGGGCCATTGGTATAAGGCGATGAAGCTCGACGCGCGGATCAACAATCTCCTGTCTGAACAGGATGAAAGACGCCACGCAGAGTTACGAGCGAAGATGATGCCCGGAGTAGCTCTTGGACGATCCCCTACTAGAGCCACACGCTAACACTCACGGTCCAGTACACTGCGAAAGAAGTCCCCGACCTCGAGGCGACCGTCAACGATAGGCTCCTCGACCTCATCGCGCTCATTACGCGAGAAGGGATAGAGAAACGCTCGTCCATCGACTTCGCCACGTTCGCTCAGTATTTCACTCTCGACAGCCTCACGCATATTGGTAAGTCGGTTGTGCAACGTCTCTCCCACAACCACACCACGAGACATGAGAGTCGAAGCCAACACACACACATACAGCATTCGGCCGCCCCTTTGGCTTCCTAACGCACAACGAAGACCTCTACAACTACAACAAGACCAGCACCGCGTTCTTCCCCGTGCTGGAACTCGGCACCAATTTCCCATGGGTGCACGCCATCCTCTCCAGCCCCCTCCTGCAAGCGCTGGCGGGACCCAAACCAGAAGACAAAGCGGGCCTGGGCGCCATCATCGGCATCGCTCAGGAGATAGTAGCCGAGCGCTTCCACTCAGGTTCGGAATCCAAGAACGAAAAGGACATGCTCAACTCGTTCATCAGACACGGCCTCACGCAGCTGGAAGCAGAATCCGAATCCCTGCTTCAAATCCTCGCCGGCTCGGACAGCACGGCCACCACGATCCGAATGACGCTGTTGTTCATGCTGACAAACCCGGCCGTGTACGTCAAGCTGCGGACCGAAATCGACGCTGCCGTCGCCGACGGCCAAATCTCCTTCCCCGTGGTCAAGTACAGCGAAGCCCAGACGCTGCCTTACCTCCAAGCGTGCATCAAGGAGGGTCTCCGCGTCTGGCAGCCTCTGAACGGGATCGGGACGAAGCTCTCTCCACCAGAGGAGATTGAGATCTGTGGCGTCCGAATCCCACCCCACACGCAGGTGGCCATCAGCCAGCACATGATGATGAAGAGACGCGATCTGTTCGGCGACGACGCCGCCATCTTTCGACCGGAGCGCTGGATCGAGAATGATCCCGAGACGCTGAAGAGGATGGAGCGCGTGTGGGAGTTGTCCTTTGCCGCCGGGAGGTTTACCTGTTTGGGCAAGGGCATCGCGCTGATGGAGTTGAACAAAGTGTTTGTAGAGGTATGTTATCTTCTTTCTTCTTCGGTCCCTGGATGAAAGAACGAGGTCTGTGGGATTTTCTTTACTGATCGAGGTTTCCTACGCAGCTCTTCCGGCGTTTCGACCTTGGAATCGTCAATCCCGTCAAGACGATGGAGACGAAGTGCCATCAGATTCATGTTCAGAGAAAGATGTTTCTGCATGTCACGGCACGGGCCATGTGATGGCCTCTTACATCTCGGACGGAGGTTGATACGTCCATAACAAGGGTGTTCCACAGCACGCACGCCAGTGTGCGAAATCTGCAGATTCGACTTATCTAGCTTGGCCCCTGTCTAGCACATTACCGGCGACTTCACTTTCCAACTTTCAAGCCCAGGATTCATTCCCGACAGTGGAAGCAGCTCAGCCACTTCCCCTCTATTCTAGGTTCCTTTCAATATGTTGGCTCCACGTATCAAAATCCAGCGATGGTGAAATACCACCCATTTGTCTCTCCCTTTGTAAGATCACAAGGAATGCACCCTTTGTACCGGCCCGTATCATACTATCACCTCAGTCCTTCCCAGCATCATCTCCACCCCACCGTCGCCCAGAGCTCACGGCAATGACCGACTCCTCCCAACTCCATCTCCAACACATCGATCCCTCAGCTTCCCAAGACTATGCCGCTCAACTGCAGCTGGACCTCTCATAAGGTCTGAGGCTCCTACGGCAGAGGCTCGTATGCACCACCCGACTTGTGCGCCTCGCGGTTCGAGAACAAGAAGTAGATGAGCATTCCCACAATGGGGAACAGGAACACAACCAAGCACCACAGGAGCTTGTGGAGGGGAGGACGATTCGATTTCAGGACCTCGACTATTCCGATTGTATTAGTTACCAGTGACCATGTATTTTCTCTCTCGAGCTCGTAACGGGATTACATCGGTGAACTTACTGAAGACCAGCACATCGAGGACTAGGACAATCAAGCCGACAATTCCACCGCCTGTACCGTAGCCGATGGCATTACTCTCGGCGTGGAATTCGTCGCCCGAGAGGGGAGCTCCGAGAGCGAGCGTCGTAAACAAGATTTGGAGGAAGAGTGACTGGACCATTGTGACTACGGGTGTGTGATGCGGGGGGGGTTTCTTTGCTCAGGCCAGGAATCTGTGCGGTCGCTGGACTAGAATATGGACGGAGGAAATCGACGCGGGCGCAGAGGTCGTGGTGAGATAAGGTGAGCTGGAGGTACGAGTATCGAAACCAGGAAGCAGGCAGGCAGCCGTGTTGTACCTTATTTATTGCCATTGTGTCATTGCGGGGTAGTTGGTAGGCACGCGACTGCCCAAACTGTCACAGCCAAGGTCTTCGGTTTCGTTCCATGCACAAGACGTCATTCTGTCATTCTGGGGCTGGTGGCCCCGCCCCACAAGTTGCGTTGCGGTGGGTGACGTGGGAAGGCGCCGGTGATAGCCGAGCTTGACCTGGCATCGTCCGAGTACTTGTACGGAGTACTCGTACTGTGTACTCTAATCTGAGGCACTGATCGCCCATTCTGTTGCTATGACTTTATATGGCTTGTGTTATTCGACTATGTTGCGTGTGTGAAGAGCGTATGGTGTGCAGAATATTGGCGCTGGGATTCGTCTCGCACTGTCGCCCCCGAACGTAACAAGTGCTCTATGAAACGGAGGAGCGAGTGGGCGTATATCCTACTGCGCTGCCTTGTCAGTTCCCTTTGAACCAGAACGGGCTGGCAGAGGGCTATAGCGATGCTCTTGTGATCGATTCTGTTCATCTCCGCTATGAGGTCGACAACGACACCGGCGAATACAGACTGTGGGCCCGACATCACAACTCGGATTGAGCGCCCTGCACCGCAAGAACATGACAATGGGCATTTGACTCAACCATTATTGCCACTGATGGTGGACTGGCTGTGAACAGTTGACGAGGAGAATAATCGTGCTCCATTTGAGAGGCGTCTCCTTTCCCCTGGGTATGGCGGCACTCTGTATAGGATAGAGCTGGTTGAGTACGGCGGAGATACCGGGAAGCCTGGTTCAGAGCTCCTACCCAAGGACTGTGTCAACCTGAAAAGTGAAGAAACACGTCAATGTCCGTTAATTTGTGCGGAGAAACGAAGAACGAAGGTAGGTCGGTTTACGAGCTGAGAGAAAGGGTTGAGATCAGAAAGAGCTTAACGAGGACCATTGAAGACTGGTGGGCTCGGATGGAGGGGCTCGTGTTGTACATCTGAAGGCTAGATGGTCGTGGTCGCCATTGTCAGGCACACGTTGAACCACGATGGACGAAGTTTCCTTTCGTCAGTGGTGGATGTAATCATTCCCTACCCAAAGGCGTAGTTGAAGGGTCTGTAGTCACTAGTGACCCCCCCTGCATACATGTGTACGCAAACAACAATGCGTCGGTCAAGCGAGTAAGGATTGAGGTGAGGTCGACGAGCATGCTACCACGGAAACCAGAATATCCTGACGGGACAGCAGATAAGACTTGCAGCCCCTCGGAGCCAGCGCTTTCCGCAAGTTGTCAGTTCCTTTTCGTCCGTCTTTCCCACCTAACAGCATACAGCTGTCCGCCATCACAGTCACGCAGGACGGAAGTGAGGACTCTGGCAGAGCCGAGGGACACAGATTCGGCACACGCACCTGCTCAACTCTGGAAGGGCTACCCAAAGTTTCTAGAAACTTGCTCGAAGGGGTACGCTGAATGTGTCTGGTCGACCAAAATTGACACCGGCAAAGTCTTTCATTGCGGTGGGCATGTGCACTTAGCGTCACAATATCCGAATACAAGACCATGCTCTGTTGAGCGGTCCACGTTCTGTGGTCATGAAAGGAGAAATTTGCGGAAGAACAGAATCTTCGTGTCTGTGCGCCAGCACTATTAGACGGAGTGGCGAAATGCTTGTCTGGGTTGCTGAGAGCACGTGGAGTACTCGTACATGGCAAGGCAGCCTGCCCAGTTCATTGCTCAAAATGTCCACAATCGCATCAGGTCGCGAAATGCTTCGCATACAGGGGGTCCCTCTCCCCTTCTGCAATCTCCCGCCAGTCGTACTCTAAAGCCTTCGCCAGACTCCTGGCAACACCTTGGCCTCCGTAGAAGTGGGAGATGAAGGCCAGCGTCACGTCCATCCCCGCCGAAATTCCTGCCGATGTCCAGATTCAAGTGGCAGCGTGTTACTGTCCTCGACTTCTGAAGGCAAACTCCGGACCCACCGAGCAAAGTCTGCCCATTTTACTTTGGGGCTCCGTGCTGCCACTTCCTTGAATCGCGTCATGTTCGTGGTAGCGCGTCGATTGTCGAGAAGGCCAGTTTGTGCCAGCGCATCAGAACCGGTGCAAACTGTGATGATAGCGGTACGGATATGTGGGGCGACCATTGGCAGAAACTCGAGCAGACTCTGTATGTTGGAAGTTTTATTGCCATCAGGATGAACCCGTTTCAGCCGAGTCCCGACGCCACCAGGGATTAGGAGGACATCAACATGAGGTTTACCTTGGTCGAGTTCGAGTGCCCTAAGAAAATCTGCAAATGTGGTATCGGGCTGGAGGTACTCATTGAAACTGAGGTTCGTCTTGCCACCTGAGCTGGGGTATGCGTCCACGAGGTCGAAAGTCCAGTTGGCAGATTTGGGCGGAATGGGCTTTGTCGGCACCGGCTCAAGAGTCTCTGCAATGAAGGTCAGAGATAGCGGGTGTTTCTCAGGATCAAGATGAGCAGTGGAAAGTATATTGAGGATATCAAGTGGACCCGCGAGGTCGAGGAGCTGGAATCCAGGGTAGATTGGGAGCAAATAGTGAATCGGAAGAGAAGTCATGATTCTCAATTGAGCGGCTGTCTTCGAACTTGACCTCAGCAACCTGCTTGACCGAGAATGAATCTAGAACGCCGACAAGACGAGGTCGAGTGAGACTATGAATGTCAGATATTCAGCAACGACGATTCCAGGGGAGGATGCGATGATGTTCGACGAGGGTTTTCCGAGATGGTCCAAATTGCCGTTTTGAGGGGAGTTTGCCAGAATGGTCGCACCGTAAATCTTCGGAGCAAGCGAGAATCGCTAAGCGCTGCACGGGGCGATGCCGAACGGCGTGAATCCAAGTTTCACAAGTAGCACGCCTTCAACGCAGCACATACATCCGGCCCAGACCTGGGCAATCTGGTCGATACTGTGCATATGCGAGAGAGATGCGATTCAGAACACACTCTCAGCCACGGGGCAATGTCAAACCGTTGGCCAGGCAAATTCGCCTTCTCTCTGGGGCAAAGCTGAAGTACTCGTAACTCGTACCTTAAGAAGGCTCAAGGAGGCTCCACTGTACCCTGTAAATCGGCTGCCTTCGAGCTAGGCCCAGATGGGTTGGGCAGGGTTAGGCACGTGCCACAACGCGGGTGTTTTATGACTGGTCGCTGTGCCAAGAGGCGAAGGTCAATGCGCCATCCATTGTTTTTCACCCTTCCATCTGCGCTCTCTCTTCCGCTGCTCTCACTGCGTCCAACGACACATGACTCCCTCAAACCATCTTACGTTTCTTTCGTGCCTGACCAATACTCCTCTGGCAGCCTTTCTGACCAGCAGGGCCTTCAATGCAATGGCGAGCCAGTACCACCGGGTTTCTGTCACGGGCTCCTGGCGCATCAGCACACGTTCCGCCACTCATGCGCTGCTCACCAAATCACACGCCGTCAACTCTGTGGTCAACCAACACGACCTGATTGTCAATCTGTTTGCCTGATTTTTGCCTCCCATAGTTGCACCAAGAGAATGACGCATATCTTGATTGAGACTCAATGGAAGACCACGGATTACTCTGCACGCACTTTCTGCCTGTTGCGCTTCCATTGTACTGCCACGTCCCGTTTCTCTCCCCCTAGCATTGCCTACTGTTGCTCATCACCTCCATTGGAACTCTATTGATGTCTTGAGCAGTCGCAAATCAACTCTACCATCTACGATAATATGCCATCCATCCTGTCTTCTGTGTATTCGTTTGACTCTACCCGCTCGCGGTCCTCGATACTTCCACTACTTTACCGGTCGCCGTCGACACTCGCATCTTCAAGAGGTGGGACCACAGGCTGAAATCCCGGTTCGCACGTGCTGTTGGCTTTATACCTGCACGGAACCGTGGTTATCGCGCGTTGTGAAAGTGTGGTTCCGGGCTCTTCCCATTCACGCTTGAGGACCTACCGAACCGCCAGAGCCCAAAGCTTCCTGAAGAGGACCTGTACCTCTGCGGGCGGCGACGAGCCGCCAGAGCCTAAAAGTTTCCAGACGAGGACCTGTGCCTGTTTGCGACTGACGACCTCTGGGTTATAAAGCACTAGATCCGCTCCTCTCTGGAAGGAAATTCCCATCCTGCAGAAGTATCAGATCAGTCTCTTGCGCCCCTCTTGAGTCCAAATCAACAAAGGTTTCCTCCTGCAGAAATATCGCTTCAACCTTTTACGTCTCTCTCTGAGTAAGATCTCGACATGGCTGCTCAACAGTCTATCTCTGGCCACCGCGAGCCATACGAGCCTCCCATGGCAGCCATTTCGTACATCAAAAACCGGTATCCAAGCCCTCCAAACAGACTAGGGAAGAACTTTGGAGGCCTCCAATCTGAGGGCAAGGCCAATGATTCTGCGGTGTATCCGCCTGTCCCGATACTTATACTGTCGCCCCCGTCCAGTCTACCTTTGTCGCGGTCGTCCACAGAAACAAACATCGAAGCAGCCGCTTCATCCTATGCAGAACCCAGTAATACGAACGAGGACAGGCCGGGGCTCATTAGTGGACTGACGAGAAACGACGAGCAAAGGGCTGTGATCCTGAACCAGTTCCAGGTGGATCGCATGCTCAAGGAGTTCGTGGAACACAACGACTGCGAACTTCTGAGAAGCCCCACGGAGCTTTATTGGCTCCCTATCAGGGGAATAGATAAGCATCTCCGGCTGGTCGATGCCACCGAGTTGCTCCGGAGACTGGAGGTACTCCGGGATTATCGTCTTCCATGGGCCAAGTCGCTCGTGGATTGCGATGAGAGTGTCGTCGTGAGTATCGACACTCCGACGAGCGGGTGCCCGAAACCATGGTCGGATATCAGGCGCATGGCGATTGCCGGCCTCCTTGAACAATACCCGCCAGAGGACATGGCCGGACTCCTGGGCGGGATCCGGCGTCATCTATATCGGGGGCAGCATTCCAAGCTGCAGTACCAACCCGTATGGAAGGACGCACAACCCGTCCTCGAGCAGACGGAGACGACGAGACCCGTCCGTTCAAAGAAGGAGCCCGCCAGCGACAACCCTGGCAAAATAACGATCAAGATCTCCGCGCGTGCCCTCGCCATATCCGACAAGAAGCAGCGTGCGTCAACGGCATGCTCTTCTTCCCAGAACGGCACGTCCTCTGAAGCAACCTCAGAGGAAGATGCCTCGGTCGCCCGCCCGCCAGAACCACGAATTGGGACCACTTTGGAGTCCCGTGCCACGAAGCGCAAAGCCTCTAGAGCCTTGGAGGACGATGTCCCGGTCGCCAGCCCGCCCCAAAAGCAGGCCAGGGTGACCGGGGAATCCAGCGCCACAAAGCGCCACAGGACCCGAGACGGGTCGACCACCAGGGTGATCAGCCCCAGCGAGCGCTTTGGCCTGGCCATCAAGAAGTTCTTCGCGGCTCGGTCCCCAGCCAAAGACGACTTCGGCCACTTCAAAGGGGCCATTATGCCGGCGGGGGGGCCCGACGCCAATCTAGCTCCCCTCGATGAGACGACGCATCCAGACTTCCAGGCCTCGCTCGACAAACAGAGCCCCCGCGGCAAGCTGGGTGATACGGCGGACCTGCACGAGTCCGAAGTCCGCCTGTGCCAGCTCCTCGACATGCCCGCCGCGCAGTACAAATGCCAGAAGGCGCGCTCGTTCGTCGGCCTGGCCATGTGGATCGAGTACAACGAACAGCGGCGCCAGACCGAGGCAGCGCCACCGGCCAGGATGCAGGCGTTCAACAAGACGCAATTGCAACAGTGTTGCAATGTGGACGTCAACAAGGCGTCGCGGCTGTGGATCGCCTTCAAGGCGTGGGGCTGGCTCGGGGACGAAGAGATGGTCAAGTCGGTGCCGAGCGGTCTGGATCAGATGTTTCCGCGAGAGTATCGGCTCGGCTGGGTGCGGGAGATGCAGAAGTTCGAGAGGGAGAAGGTGCCCGAGGCCGACCGGAGTAAGTGTGTAGACTGGGACCTGGGAGCTTGAGACGTGTGTGCGCGATGGCCCGCTGGGGTCGACGGGGGCATGCAGCCAACTCTCCTTACTGTTCACTTACTTACTTTGTTTTCCAAAAGTATGAGCGAGGCGTCGGGGTACCTACTGTATGACGAAGAATGACTTTATTGTTGGTGATATTTAGTATGGCGTTCAAAGAAACAAGAAACACGATCAGAAGCGACACAGAATGAAGGGAAGCAGATCACAGAGATTATGACTCATGGACCAAGCGCAGATCTTGATTTGTATGATATGGCACGGTATGAGCTGTGCAGTTGTACAGTGTTGATGGTAATTTGTGGATATTAGCTCGAGTCAATATGTAGTAATAGAGTGGTCAACAACACCACGACGGCAGCGGCTACAATCAATAGGTGGCCAGAATGCAAGAACCGGCGACGGGTCCGCTGTCCTGAACTCCCAGCGTCCTCTCTATTGATTGCTCTCCTACTGGCTACATACATGTATCCGAGTACGGCGTACGCGTGAGTAAACAACCTTTACCACGGCTGACCGATCAATAGCAAGCCATCTCCATTGACTGCACCAGAACGATTCTCCCAACCCCACGGCCTTTTGCGGCACCTATTCATCGCTGACACTCGCAAACTTCTCACTCATCTTCTGCAATAGCCCGTCATACTTTTTGCTCACCGACTCCTCATCGTCGGGCAACTCGAACTTCATACTGCGCAAGCCGTGCTGGATCTCGGATGTTGCCTCCCTCACCTTCGCCCAGCTCAACCCACTGCTCACTGCCTTCTGCGCCTCGTCGTGGAACTGCATGAATGCCTTCATCATGTACTCTGTCTTCCACAACGGGCAGAATTGGTCGTAGTCACTGTATCCGTTCTGCTGCAGGAAATCGTCCTTGAGCATGGCCGCGACGTCGAGGATGATCTTGTCGGAATCACCCAGCGCCGATTTCCCGACCAGCTGCACGACTTGGTCGAGATCTTCCGAGTTGGTGAGTAATTCTTTGATCCGGTCGCGGAGGCGCGGAAACTCGGGGTGGTCCTTGGCATAGAACTTGTCGAGGATGTTGGTGTACTTGCTGTACGACAGGGAAGTGTTTACAGACGGGAAATGCTTTCTCTGGGCCAATTTCTTGTCCAATCCCCAAAACACTTGCACAATACCCAACGTGGCGGAAGTGACTGGGTCCGAGAAGTCACCACCGGGAGGGGACACGGCGCCGACGATGGAGATGCTGCCGTTGCGTTCTGGCGAGCCGAGAGCTTGAGCTGCGCCTGCTCTCTCGTAGAAGGAAGCGAGCTTTGCGCCCAGGTATGCGGGAAATCCCTGGTCTGCGGGCATTTCTCCTAGACGACCCGAGATTTCTCGAAGCGCTTCAGCCCAGCGCGACGACGAGTCTGCCATCATGGCCACGGCTTTGCCCTGATCCCGGAAGTACTCAGCTACCGTAATTCCCGTATAAATGGAGGCTTCTCGAGCGGCCACGGGCATGTTGGAGGTATTGGCGATCAAACAAGTTCGCTTCATGATGGGTTCCTTACGGCCCTCGATGGTGATGGAGAGCTCGGGAAAGTCCATCAAGACTTCAGCCATCTCATTACCACGCTCGCCCTGATGTGTGATTAGCATGGAGCATCTAGATTTGGGGGTTGGGGAGGATGGAGAATTTGAGGAGCACTTTCACCACCCCTCCGTATTCTGGGAGAAACTTACACATCTACAATGTGTTGTTAGCATAGTGAACAATGACGAGAGCAGAGAGTACACTTACCCAACGTAGACAATGATGTCGCTGTTGGAGAACTTCGAGACGGATTGTGAAATGACAGTCTTGCCACAGCCGAAAGCTCCGGGAATGCACACTGTACCGCCCTGAACCGACGGGAAGAGAGCATCAAGAACTCTCTGACCGACAATGAAGGGTGAATCTGCTGAAAGGCGTTCGGTGACGGGGCGAGGAACACGAACAGGCCATGTCTGCATCATGGGGTACTCCTTGGTCTCACCATTGAACTCCAGTGTAAGGAGGGGCTCGTCGACGGTGTACTCGCCCTTCGGAGCGATCTTCTTGATTGTGCCTCGAGCTCTAGGGGGCAGGAGGATTCTGTGCTCGTTGACCAAGCTGTTCTCAGGGACTTTACCCCAGACATCGCCGCCACTGATGTGATCTCCCTCTTTCATAGTCGGCGTGAAGGACCATTTCTTCTTCCTATCGAGTGAAGGGACAGCGATACCGCGCGGAATGTAGATGCTGTTGGTGTTGCCTGCAATGGTCTTCAGAGGTCGCTGGATACCGTCGTAGATTGTTTCCATCAAGCCGGGTCCGAGTTCGACGGATAAAGGTTTGCCAGTTCGCAGGACGGGGTCTCCGACAGTAACGCCAGCTGCGACATTGTCAATGGAGGCAGCAGCAGCATAAAGAGCTTACATACCCGTTTCTTCGTACACCTGAATGGTGGCTTTGTCTGCCTCTATACGAATGACCTCGCCGACCAGCTCATCGTGGCCGACCTTGCAAAGCTCGTACATGGCCACACCAATCATGTTTTCCGCGACGATGACAGGACCAGAGACGGAGAAGACGGTTCCATTCTGCTGGTCCTCGCCAATGCCACTCTCCTTTGCGGCTGGCATCCTTCGGTATGTGCGGGCAGTGGTGTCTAGAGTCTGAAGTGGTTGCGGAAAGGCAAAGACAGATGAGCTGTTGGAGCTTGCACCAGGAAGGTCGCCTTCGTCAAGATCCTCAACGAGATCAGGAAGACCAAGCTGAAGGTGTAGGTATCTCAGGTCCGAAGCAGTAGTGAGCTCGTCGATACTCCTGCCGGTGATGAACTCTATGACAGACTTTCTGTGTTTAAGGCGAGGGCGTCCAAATCCAAGCATATGAAATCATCATTTGCGGGTAGGAGCTGTTTGGAGTGTCCAGTTGCGGGCGATACGATAGCTAGGGCAGCGTTCTTAGGCTCTTAGGTAAGAAGTTCCCGCTTAAAGGTTCCCGCGGGCATGTCTGCCAGTGCCTAATTAATTGTCTAGGCACCAGGAATACTTTCACAGTACTCCGTACATACTTTAGGTAGGTAGGGAGGCACGGTATGTAATTCGTACTCGTACGTCTTCATTTCTTGTCCTGCGCCGAGTGCAATGCTAGCGACGACAGTGTCCGCCATTCCTCAGACCGATCTCAGGCAGACCGTCCAGCGTCCAAGTCTTGACCGAGGCATCCAGACATGGTGCAAAGCTCAGCTCCGACCAATTATAGCCCCTCACAAGCGGCCTCTGCCAGCCTGGAACACTTCGTCCCCGAAGCATCTGACATGTTCCCAGACCCGAGTGCCACCTGGCAGGATATGACGAACAGCGAGGGCTGATGGACACGCGAAGGACGAAAATCCGCGCTGCTGCTATGCGAGAACACTTTTCATCGTCGGCGACTTCGAGGCTAGACTAGAGTTCCAGTATTCCACACGTTCTTATCACTGTACGGAGTACAGTTATCAGGCTCCAACTTTCCATGAGGGCCGGCGCAGAAGTGGACGTTGGGTAGTCTGAAACAAGCCTAGCAGTGCCGGAATGGTTGGTCACCAGTCTGCTTCGCAGCAAGTGACCTCGTTTGGAGCAGATCAGGTGGATGGGGCTTGGGTGAGGTGGGCTTCCTGCTGCTTGAAGCGGGCGGGTAAAGAGAAGACTTTCCAGGCAAGCACGGGCGTACCTAGCTCTCCAACAGCATGACCTAATTGGCCCTGCTGAGCACCCGTTCCAGTTATAGTTTAGATAGCAATCAGGACTGGAAGTGCGGGCAGAACTGGCATTGTCTCCGACATCATCCTCCGAGTGCCCATTCTTGCGAACTGGCGTCGCTCGAAGTAAACCACATCTTTCTACCTACCACGACACTCAGACGACCAGCGTCGACATCCTCGGTCCACAACATCACTCTCACCACCACCCAACCTCCAAATATCACTCAGAAAACCATCGCTCGTGCATCTACTGACGTTGGGACTTGCCTCAGACTCGACCGCCTCGATCACATCCCCAATATCAACCGACGCCATCGTCTGCCCACTGTCTGCGTCCAAGGACTGGTTGCTTTACGATCGAATGTTTCGACCCTGTTTTCGTCTCAAGCATCTCTAACGCCGCTTCAAATCTGAATTTGGGCATCCGAACACTCAACATTGACGGCTTAACTCTGGTGCCGCACGAAGCAGACTTGACGCTGATATAGGCGGCTTTGCCGCCACCACGAGCTGGCAAACCACCTTCCTACAAACAACCACCTAATCATCTCCGACGACCCATCCATTTCGACTCACCCTCTCCATTCTTCTTACACAGATTCTACTTCCCCCACCCCCAACACATCGACAACTAATCCAACACCGAATACACACCGAGACCCACATCCGCCCGACTTACAGCCCTCTATCACAAACCAAGCACCTATAGAGCAGGTGCAGGTTTCTCAAGAGCTGGGGAGACGAAGGCGAAGGCGGTCATCATCTGAACCAGTCAGCGAAGACGACGATAGCGTAGGTGAGGCCACTGAGACATCTGGAGGAGAGCCTGCTCTCAGGGAGCACTCGTCAGCAGACAGACCTAGGTCGAAGCGCAGGCGGACTGACAGATACACCATGAGAGTCGATGAAGACTCGGAGCAAGTGTTTTCCAACGGTCATACTGCAAGCTCGAATGGCTCCACCCCTAGGAAGCCTTTACATACGGCACTAAACGGTCACGTCAATGGGTCTAGCCCCTCATACGCCAATGGCACATCCAAGAAACATACACCTGTCCGGTCAGCCACCTACCGTGGCCACAACAGAGAGGAGGTGGTACGCATACTCATCCAGGGTCTGATAGACATGGGATATTCAGATGCCGCCAGCGTCCTGTCAAGTGAAAGTGGTTACGAGCTCGAGAGCCCCTCCGTGGCGGCCTTTCGAAGTGCGATCCTAGAAGGCGTATGGTCAGAGGCAGAAGCTATCCTGCAAGGCTCACATCAGGGTGAA